TCATGACTCGTGGACTTCAACTCCCAGAATTCCTGAGCCAGCATGGGGGAACTATGGCCCCCTCATGACTCGTGGACTTCAACTCCCAGAATTCCTGAGCCAGCATGGGGGAAACTTTGGCCCCTTCATGACTCGTGGACTTCAACTCCCAGAATTCCTGAGCCAGCATTGGGGAACTATGGCCCCCTCATGACTCGTGGACTTCAACTCCCAGAATCCCTCAGCCAGCACGGCTCAGCTTGGAAACCTCTCCCTTTCCCCTCAGCGTGGCTGGCTTAGGAATTCTGGGAGTTGAAGTCCACCAGTCATAAAAGAGCCAAGGTTGCCTACCCCTGTCCTAGCAGGAAAAACAGAAGACTAATCGTCATTTTAAGATTACCAATAAAGGAGAATATTTGCAGCTCAGGGTTTGAAATGAGGGGTCCTCGGTGTTCTCTGAGCTTGGCGGGTTTTTCGCAGACATTTCATGACCCAACTAGGCAACATCATCAGTGCTTTGAGAAATGAGATCCCTGCAAGAAAACAAGCCAGCTCAGAGATCACCAAGGACTCATTTTAAGACTGTACACAGAAAACTCAAGAGTAGTAAGTCAATTTCCAAGCCATTGCAGTATATTTCCAAGCCATTCCTAAAGATGGTTTTCTTGCAGATATTTCGTTCCCAAACTAGGTAACATCATCAATGCTGGAAGGGAGCAAAAGGTTTGCTCCTTTTCTCATCTACCGCTAGCTTGGACAAGAAGCCCGCGAGATGCCACAAAATTTTGCTTTTCCCTTCCCTGTTTGGCCAAATAAGATATTTCCCAACCATAGCCTTATTGCATCTTGGAGTAATAATAATAATAATAATAATAATAATAATAATAATAATAATAATAATAATAATAATAATAATAATAATAATAATAATAATAATAATAATAAAGTTGGAAGGGACCTTGGAGGTCATCTAGTCCAACCTCCTGCTCAGGCAGGAAACCCTATACCATTTTGGACAAATGGCTGTCCAGTCTCTTCTTAAAAACCATCCAAAGATGGAGCACCCACAACTTCTGGAGGCAGG